ACATCTTTACAGGCTGGTGACATTTAGCAGGGGGATAACCACGCATTACCATAAGTAATGAGTCAAAGTTACAGGAGAACAGCTGAGACCAGAGAAGCAGCTTCTACTGGGACAGAAAGCGATAGAAAAAAACCACCTCAAAGCTCAGGAAATGGAATAAAATATGACTGAGATGGGCAGAAAGCAGAGGCGTTAGTCAGCAAAGCGGCAGGTTGAAAAACAACCAGGGCTGTTGGGTGGCTTGTGGCTGGCACAGGATGCTGAAGGGAGGAGGAGAAAAGAGCGGGCAGCCCTGGCTCAGGCCGCGCCTGGAGTGCCAGCAGCGGCACTGCACACCCCACACGGGCCCCGCCACCTTCACTTTACTTCTGCCAAAACACATAAAGCCCGACCTCCGTGCAGCAAGGCCGGGGAGGGGTACGCACTGAGCTGCCACCAGAGGAGAGGGCTCCTGGGGCCAYGCTCACACAGGGGTTCCACCCTGTCTGAGGATCAGGAGCAGGAACAACAGTGCTGAGCTCTCACCCAGCTCTCTGGGATAGGAACCTGCAGCTCTGCTGGGTGCAGGCTGCCAAACACAAGTGTCCAGGCTCACACCAAGCCCTTGAGAGGTCCATGCCAGTGCATGTCCAGCCTGTGGGAACACTGGAGCTCCTGATGCAGCTGCTGCAGCACGCCTGAGCATGGGCCCCTTGGGCAGCCCCAGCAGGACACCCTCGGTCCTACTGTGCAGCTGGGCACAAGCTGAGCTTCAGCACCTTAGTCCACTTTCATGGCCCCAGAAGAGGCACCTCTCCCGCAGCCTCCAGCTGCCACCCGCTGCACACTGGCCTGGCCCATCTCAGGCTTCTTTTCTGCGCTGTGCTGACTCCATGTGTGGCCAGCAGGCTCCTCGCACATGCCACGGCGCTAGCCCCGCACACTGCGCTCTCAAAAGTTGGTGCAGACTCACCTGCTTGGGGTCAGCACCCATAGGCTTGTCCCTGCCTGTGGGGATGCGTCTGGGTCAGGCCATGCAACTGCACGCTCCACAAGAGCCTCGCGTTCCGCAAGAGCCTCACCTGCACCTGGCACCGCCGCCCTGGCACGGCTGTCCCGCTCCCGCGCCGCAGCCTGGGCGCCCAGCGCAGCTCCTGGCCTTGCTCACAGAAACAAGCGAGCCACCTTCAAGGCGCTGAGTGTGGGAGCGCTTTCGGAGCGCTAGCGGCTCGCCTGCTGTGCTGCCTCCCTGTGGCAAACTGCAGCGGCGTTGATGCGCTGYGCGGCACTAGCACCGCTGCCAGCTCCCACCTGGCTCACAGAGATGTTCGTGTCTCTGAGAAAAAAGGCAGCATGCACATGCAGCACAGACAAACAGCTTACGAGAGGCAAACACTAACACATGTTGCAATATCTTGGTGTGTATAGGCAATACTAGATATAAAACAGTTTTTCAGGGAAACAGCTGGGTCCAAGCATCAGTCCTTATTGCTGGAACCTGCATCTTGATAAAAAACTCATGACAGTTCACTGCAAGGCAGTAGAAGACAGGAGCAGTTTCATGAGGCTAAAAAGCCCGAAACACGGGGTTGTTGACTACACCAGAGCACAGGGACCAAAGAAGTGAAATCATGTCACAGCAGTACCCCACACCCCAACCAGGGCTGCTGAACACTCAGAGCAGAAGGACGCGGAGGCTGTTTCTGTAAATGCTGGGGGGATTCCGCGTCAAGCGGCGGCTTTGCCTGGTGTGAGGCTCTTGCTTGGACAAGGAAGCTACAAGATCCCCGCTGCTGCTCTGTGAGTGGGGAAGAGTTGCTCCGCATTCGCTTTTGTCAGCCTGCATTCTGCTGCCATGTGGTGCAGGGGCAGTGGGAAACCACAGCAGTGACTGGTATCTCACAAAACAGAGCTGATGTACTCAGCAGTGCCTGTGCTGGCCCTCTGCACCTGGGAGGCACAGCTGGAGGCTTAAGATGAAGCATGAGGATAGCAGTTAGGTACCAGACAAGAGGTGAGAAGCATCCTTGATGTGCAGGACTCTGCTTAGACCATGGAGTGCTAGGACTGCAGGGCCTCATTGTAGAGGAACAAATCACCCGATGGACACGCTGTTACACAGGAGCCTGCTGGGCGCCCCGCAGCTCCCAGGCTAGGGATGTGGTGCAGACCACCCTGCATGGCCTTCAAGCCCAGAGCACAATCGCAGGTGTGCAYGAACTTGTGCTTACAGCACAACATGAGTTGCCAGCGTCACCTCCTTGAGRCTTCTGCTGGCTACTCGTCAAGAGCCAAGCATGTTCATGCCAGGGCCAGGCATACTCTGCTCCTCACAGCAGCACTGTGGCAATAGCTGGGGCCTTGCTACAGCCCTGCATCAGGTGCGGGACCTCCCTGCACCCCAAAAGTAGCTCAGAACTTCCCTTGCCCTGCTGTAACTCCTGTTGCTGTGTGGGTGGCTCGCTGCAAGTGAAACCAGCAGCAGCTGAGAAGCAGAGAAGCAGTCAACCTGTCTCTTCAGCTCTTGGGAAATTTCCCTATGTCTAAGAGCTAGGGAAACAGAGGCAATTAGGAAAGTCCCAGTGACACATTAGTCACCTTTCAGCAGAGAACAAATAACTATACTAATGTGAATGCCATGTTGTCCTGCAAGGGAGCGCAGGTGGGACAAGTAGAGCCAGCATCTACAACAGAGCCGGGGCTGGAGCTCCCAAAGAGAGCTACCCGCCTCCACTGCGGGGGCTGTAACACAGTCCCCTCTGTCACATACAAGCTGCAGGTCAGAATTTGCTGCTGCAACTCTTGGCATTATGGCTGCCTTTCTGCTCCCAGGGGAGCAGATGTTTAGAGCTCTCCCATGGAGAGTCAGAGGTTTATACACAGCTTTCTGACTAAGAGTAAAAAAGGGGAGAAAGCTGCTTCTCCCACCAGCAACTAAACCAGCAGCCAGTTCCCCATGGTTTGGTCCTAGGCTGCAGACAGTTCTTCCTTTTCATCCTTCAGTCCTACTGGAAGGGGAAGCAAGGTGAGTGTTGTATAAAGCCAGGGAAGGGCCAGGATGGAAGGAGAGCACAAAGGCCAGACTAACCAAGGCACCAGGACCAAGGTACAGCAGATTTCAAGTTCTTCTCAACATTGCTCTTTCTCAGCTTGTCAAAAGAAGGAGACTTGTCTGCACTTAGCAAGTCAGAGATGCTGGCAAGGGCTGTTATTAGGATAACTGGAAAAACATGAAGAGGGCTGCCAATAAAGTAGGCTTTACCTTTGCTCTGGGATGTTAGTGGGGTATCTGGAAGGTGTGCTCTTCTGCACTTGGCTATTTTGTTTCCTGTGTTTTGGAACAATCTGCTTTGAGTGTCCTGCACCTGAAAACCAGACTGCTTCACTGCTGCATTCCTTTGATAAAGTATCAGCAAGCTCCCAAGGAGTTCCTGTTCGGCTTCGTACTCTATCACCATAGCTGAGCCAGGGCCTTAGGAGCTCTGTGCACCTGCTGCAAGGTCTGATGCAAGACTGGGGGCACGACATGGCTCTCTGTCACCACAGCATGTTAAAAAGATTAAAATTCCACACAAAATATCATCATATGAATGTTACCATGTGGGCGCATGAGGCAGAATTTAGTCATTTGCAGATGTAGGGAAATGTGTGCATGTGCACATGCATAGCTCCCCTGAGAATCAGTCAAAAACAACATGAGTCAGAAAGTATCTGCATACAAGAATATACACTTTGGTAACATCTCAGTCAGAGCTGGAATAAAACTCCACAAATCATGCTCTCTAAGGGGTTTTTCTATGGAAAAGAGAGGGCTAGGAAAAAAACAAACTTCTCTCTCAGTCTGTTTTCACTGAGGACTTTAGTTACATCATCCCACAATCAGAGATAAATATAAATAAGTGGCCTCAAACCCATTTGGTTCTCTCACCTCCTTTGTCTTTTGGCTATTTCTCTGCTAGAAAGCAACACTTAAATGGGACTTTTCTTACATCATGCTTGTAGCTTATGACATATAAGCACTAGGACACTCCTGAAGCCTGCCTGGAGAGCACAGCCTCTCAAAGATGCAAGGCAAGTTGTAAGATCCTTTCTCCCCGGAGAAGCAAAGCAAAGAAGAAAGTGAAGGAAATCACTTCACCATCTGTTTAATCTCCCCATCTTCAGGCCCTTACTCTATCTACCCCCACTCTCTTCTTATAGTCGTTATCAGCTTTTGAAGGGCAATGACAAAACCTGTGATTGATGGGAATTTTCCAACAGCTACTCAGCAAAGGTGTGTAAGTCTAATGAGCTAACATTGCTCATGCAGAAGGGTGGGACTGACAGTATGAAAAAAAAAGTAAAAATAAACGGAGGAAGAAAGCAAAGGAAAAAGCATTTTGTCAAAACTAGCCCCTCCTATACGGAGAATTGACCCACTTTTCTCAAGAAGGCATTTCATTCATACATCAGAATAACAAACCAGGTTGGTAATACTTGGGAGGTTGCCAGAAGAGGAAGATGTGGAGGTGGATCAACTGTGAGTAATAAGCAGCCTTAGAACTTGCACGGCCATCTTATAAACAGACTGAAACTACACTCAAGATATCTTTATTAAAAATGAGTATTTCTCTGAGCAGATAAGAACGTCCCGCGAGGTAAGAAGCCCAGGCAGGGATGGTGTCAGCCTTTGGACTGCAGTGCCTCACTTGGTGAGGAGCGGCTGCTTTGCAAACAGCCTGGTTCTTGGAAGGTGCAGTTCAGTCCACTGCACTGCATCCGCACTCCTAGAAGGCCACACACTGTCACTGACCATCACCTTACACTAGAAACTTGTCATTTGAGGCAAATCTGTGTATTGTAACATGGCTATAATTCTGAGTCCCAAAAGCAGAGGAGGAAGCATTAACTTGAATCAATCTTCAATCGCATAGTATGCCTACTATGAAAGGTAGATTTGAGCAGGCCAGCTAAGTCCAGCATTGGTTCTAAATTCAGCAAAAGTATAAGAATCCCCTTTCCAAAGACAGATGGTTTGATCCAGGAAAGAGTGAAAGGAGGAAAAGAGTAGGACACAAAAGTTGAGGAAAGCTATGCAATGAAAATGAAGGGGCAGGAAGACACAGCTATGTAGAAAGCAAAGGTAAGGAAAAGGCAAATGAAGAGGGCAAACCATAGCAAGGAGCTGCTGGAGCCACCAATTTTCCAACCCTGACATGAGCGGAGCTTTCCTGGCTGCTGCAACCAGGTGCATGTGTCCAGAAGAATTCCCCCAATAGGGCAGCAGAAGAAAGCATGATTTGTGTCCTTATGCCTCCCTTTACAGTCCAGTAAACAGTGAGTAACCAATTACACATAGCTGCAGCAACTAGCTGTGAGTTTATGCTTATACTTGATTTTGCATGACTTTGGGGAAGTTAGTCAGCACACTCATGAGGCTGACCGTAACCTCTTTGCATGTTCCTGTTTCACCATTTCAGTGAAGGTTTGTTTGATAATCCTGAAAAGATGTGCTATTTGTGAGTGCCTCACAGCTGTCCCACATCACAGAACACATGTGGATTTAACTATAGCTGACCGCAATCATGAAGGTGCAGAGTATTTCTGATGGAATTAAACCTCATCAAAAAATAGAACAAAATTTAACCCAATATTTTCAATGGCTATTTTTTAATATCCTCATCAGAAGCTAAACTATGCACAGTGGGATCTACTCCTATCACCCACCTTAATGAAAGTAGGCTAGATACCAGTGCCTATACAAATGTTAGATATCACTTCTGAATACAGATACTTTGCTGTATCCTTCCAGAGCTTACATATCATTTTTTAAATGCTGCAAAAACTGTGTGAACATTTAATACATGGCCAACAAGAACTTTGAAGAAAGAGCTGTGATAAAAAATTGTGATCACAAACATGTCAAATCTGTTGCAGTGCAGCAGTTACAGATTTGCTCGTAGAGTTGCTCTTATCTCTTCTGTGTATGAGGTACGGAAATAGGGTTTTCTGCGTAATAAGAATTGCCTTGAGATATGAAATGATTGCAACAGTTCTTAACTATTTTGCAATACTGCCAACACATTAGGGTGGRACACAATGCCAAAAATGAATGCTAATGCCCTAGAAAAGTTCAGAGTCATGAGCAAAATTTTTTTGAAAAATTACCCAGCAACAGATGCACTATTTTCAAGCTTGGAGCATAATCCTCCACTCTGTCTGGGCTGAACAGGATGCAGAATAATGCTCTATCAATTCAGAGGAGTTTGACCATACACTAGATGGGCTTTCTGGGGAAACAGAGTTTAGAAATACCTGATTCCATTTACAGCAGTGGAAGTATGAASTAATTCTGTTTACATAATAATTGCAGGTGTGTACACTCTGTAGTTTGTACAAGAAACTAATCCTGAAAAATGGCCAGGGGCCAGTCACATATGACATCTTTCACTTTTCCAGTAAGTTAATTCATGGGAAATGTGTGATGTTGTTCATGGGAAATGTGTGATGCTGTCAGTGCAACTCAGTCACTTTCCTTTGCCTTACAATACTTACAACTTCTAGATGTATTAGCACCTCCTGTAACATCTTTGTGTGCTTTCCAATCATACATAGAGCCAAAGCAATTATCACAGGAGCTGTACTGAATAAGAACTCCTATTTTATGCAGCTGCTGCTCACTTTTTGAAGGGGGATCAGGTCCAGCGAAACCTTAGCTTTGGTTCCACTTTCTTGAGAAAGTTGTCGCTGTGATTGTTAGGTACTAACTGTTGAGGCCTCTAGGGGCCTGCGTTATACAGTTGTTGCCAGCCCTGTAGCATACGAGTGTTCAACTCGATGAATCCTTGTCTGAACTGGGGGTGGTGGCCCTCATTTTAGGCATGCCTGGAAAAACAAGCAACATTTCAATTTGCCATAGAGTTTATTCCAAAGGCTGGTTTGGTCCAGCCTAGTGAGAGTGGCTAGGTTACCTTCATATAATTATCCTCCTGGGCAAGGAGTTGGAGAAGTTTCACTTTTTTCTCATTCTTTCTATTTTTTTTCCTCAATAGTTCTGCTGGTCTTTTTTTAAGAAGAGGTGTCAGTTTGGATCCCTCATTGGAAATGGTACAGGAATAAAAAGGACAGGAGCTATCTACAGAAAGAGGTATTGAAAGCTTGTCTATGACTAGCTGTTCCAGGGAGTCTGCAGTTTTTCTTTTCAAGCTTTGTACTTTGCTCTCCAGTGATTCTTCTACTAGGTTAGCAGCCAAGCCCCATCTTCTGATTGCCACATGCTGAATCACCTCTTTATTTTCCCCTGTACTTGCAGGCTTCTTCAAATGGGTATGTGYGTGGTACTGGAATCCAGCATTTCGTCTGTTACTGCTACTCTCTTGCACTCCTTTACCAGAGCAGTCAAAACTGTCAAGTTTTGCCTCCTTCATAGTTTTTTCTCTGCTTTTAAAATCTTGAGAGTTCAGCTCTAACAAATGCAAAAGTTCTAAGGCTCTGATGGTGTTTTCATCTTTGTTGTCACTGGACAGCTCATTAGAGTTGATAAACCAAATCCTGTTATCGTTGTTGTGTGAGACATTCTCACTAGTGGCTAAACCTTGGACAATGCCACTATTAAAGTTCTGTAAAATCAAACATACGTGGCTGTCTGTCTTCTGATCAGGTTCATGGATAATGATATCTGCAGGTGCTTCTCTAAGGTTGTTGTATAGAATATTAATAAAGGGTTCATGCTGTGACCTACAGATAACCTCATTGTCAAAGTCTGTACCACTGCATTTAACAGCAGTATCAAAAGATCGATAACCAGATTGTTGAGGTCCAACAGGGCAAGAAATTACATCTGCTTTCTTCTGAACATTTTTGTATGTTATTTGCTTATGCATTTCCTCCTCTGGTAGCAAAGTTGAAGCTCTGTCATTTGCATGTGTGGAGAGAGATGGAAAATCAATATGATTTGAACAGATACTTTGAAAATCAAGCTCAGTGCAGGGAGATTTGTAGCTGGCATAACATCTCTGATCACTATAGGGTTGATAAATTTCACCTCTGCAGCAAAGTTTTGGATTCTCTGAAAACTGCGTCAAAGGTGGTGAAGAACATACGTTTTCAGAACATGGAGTCAGACTATTGCTAGCCACAGACTGAGAGAGAAGAGTATCAAAGCTTTTGTATGCAGAGCTATCAGTGCCCGTGGATGTAGATACAAGGGTGTCAAAGCTCTTGTATTCAGCACTAAAAGGTTCTGTGGATGCAGACACGAGGGTGTCAAAGCTCTTGTAAGCAGAGCTGCAGGGTCCTGTGGATGCAGACACGAGGGTGTTAAAGCTCTTGTATGCAGAGTTGCAGGGCCCGGTGGATGCAGACACAAGGGTGTCAAAACTCTTGTACTCAGAGCTGCAGGGCCCCGTGGATTCAGACACGAGGGTGTCAAAACTCTTGTATGCAGAGCTGCAGGGCCCTGTGGATGCAGACACGAGGGTGTCAAAGCTCTTGTGGGTGGAGTTGATTATCCCATTTTTCATGATATCAAAGGCTGGTTCATTTGGTGATTCCTGAATAAGGACAGACAAGTCATGCTGCATTTCAGAACTGCTCAAAAAAAGACTTTGGTCAAGCATATCCAGAGAATCTCTTGCTTCTAGAGTACCAGAATTAGTGCTGGAGCTTTGATACCCAGATTCAAAGGATTCTTCTGATTGTGATGACTTCTTGCTGGCTATACTGCAATTATAGTCACTTTGTGAGACTTCAGAGAAAAAAGAGTCTGTGTGAAAAACACCACGCAGTTGCTGATGCAGGTCTGCATTTACTTTTGAATTTTGTTGTAATGGGTTTTCTGACTCAAGTCTCTCAGAGGTTTTATTCTCATCTGCGATGATGTCTGCATCTTTATTGTCTTGCATGTTGTTTTCATCTGCCAGGAGCTTAATGAACATATTAGCTAGTGCATCATTATGTTCAATGTGTTCCCTGAAAGGACTCGCACTGCCCTCACAAGGTTCAAGCATGGTGACTTGGTTAGGAGTTTCTTCCTGACTCTCTGCCTCAACGCCTGGTGAACATTCACAGATTTCAAGCGACTTTTCAACCAGAATTGTTTCAGGGGTTAAAACTGAATCACAACCTTTTGAGAACCAGTCACCAGACTTGCTGTGGCAAAGGCAAGCTTTCTCAATGTTTGTGATGTTATCTTTTTCTTTGAAGCTTTGGCCTGACAAACTTCGAGCCAGACAGTTCCTGCAACTTCTGCTTTGGGGAATAAAAACAAAAGTGCAGTTAATGTTCATGCAGTAGGAAAGTATCTTATGCTATTAAGCAGAGATTTTTTTTTCCCCCTCTGTCTTACTTACATATGGTTTTCCATATGACTCTGCTTTAAGTCGTAGAAAGGGAACTTAATTTCATCAATGTGGCAAAAAACTGAAAACTGTTAAAGACACAGACAAGATTTAGGAATTGTATTTAGTACCCTCTACAATAGCCAGCCAATAACAATTACTATATATTCCATTTTTAACAAGGAAAAGGCATCTTTTAAATTACCTTGACATTTTTCACAACCAAATGGCTCTTGGCTGGATTTGGAATTTGATCCCACCATTCCTTCTTGACTCTATAGAGAGAGAGAAAGAAAACTGTTTGCTTTGCCTGCTTTTTCACTTGATCTCTCTCTATATAATTTCCTTTCTCTGCTCTGTTCTCCTAGCTGACTGCATTTCAGGAAGTGCTTCTTCTGTGCATCTCCAAAAGTTACTTTTTATTAAACTAGTATAAACATGTTTATATATTTRGTAGTAACTATTCTGTGCAACCACAGGCACATGTTCTTCTAATCTTGTATGAAAAGATGAGCGATACAGATCACACTTTCAYGTACTAGCACTGAAAAATGAAAAGAAATACAGACATTTAACCATCATTTACTTGGATTCCTGCAATGACTGGGGGTACTCAAGTGACAGACACCCTAGTTGTAGTTTGGTTTGGATGCCGTAACAAACCAATTTTAATAAAACTGACAGAGAATATTCAATTATCCTTTCAGAAAAAGGCTGAGTGCAATTGATCCATGTTTAAAAAAAAATTGCTTGCGGAGTCTGAGATAAAGGTGCTAAAGAAAAACAAACTGTTAGATTTCTGTACTACATTCAACCAATCTACAGCAATGCTGGTACCTGTGTGAACTGCTGTAAAACTTTGAACAGTGTTATACCTACTTGGTAAAACAGAAGTAACAAATCACAGTTACTGCCATTATCAGTATGCAGGTTACAGGAACAGCCATCTGCAGAATGTCTTCAGTTGTTACTTGATAATCTATTAAGTAAACACACACATTTGCCGGTGTATATGTACCATGAATACCATATCTATTTCTTTTTTACTTTTTTCCACCTTGAGATAAGGCTAGACATAAAATTAAGTTTTCAAACAAACATCAAAATACACCGCTTCCAGTGGCAATGATGTGCACTGTGTCTGAAAGATCAGTACAAGTACTGATCTCCATTACTGTGGACAAGTTAGGAGCTAGGAGGACCTAGCTGTGTCCTGAAGCCACTTCCCAGCAATCAGACACACTCGTCATGTAATGCCAAGCACAGCATTACCAGCTGACACAAGAACACAACCATGCTTCTCATCCTCTCTGTTAGTCTTCAGAGACTTTTCTAAAATCTCATCTCTCTAAGTATTGCTCAACTTCAAGCTTAAATCTTATAGGTATTTCATATTCACTTGCAATTACATTAACATTGCCCTTCAGTTTAAGTAGCTCTTCTTCCCATGTGTCTATTTCCTGAAGCACTCGCAGAGAACAAATATATCCTCTTTCAGCCTTTTCTTTTTCCCCCYCTCCTCCTCACAATGCTAAACAATCCAAGGTCCCTTCCTCATTTCTTCCAGGAGTTCTGTTTTTGCATTTAGTCTCCTTGGAAACCTTCACAGATTGGTTCACAATAGATTCAAAGTGATGATGATGATGATGATTTTTATTTGCAGTTATTGCAAATCACAGATTCCATTACTCTTCCAGCAAACAAGAGGCAGTGGGACAAGCAAAATGTATAARAGTCTACTATCCTTTTATCAAGCCACTATTTGTAATACCACTTACCACAGTGAAATTCAATTCTGTCACTCCAGTCACTCCAGTAGGCTGGATAGTCTGTATAGTTACACCGTATGGTTACAACATAATCATATCCTTTCCTCAAAGAGCTTGCAATGATTTCAAAACTTCTTGTCTGATAGTTAATTGATTTTATAGAAACCTGAAAAGAAAGTGAAAAAGTTCTTTTTGATATTTTTGGGGGATGAAGGGTTGATGTCAGCAATTAGATACTAGTATTCTTATGTGCTTTAGTAGCCTTTCTCAAACAAGCAGACAWATAACTGTATATATGATTCACTGTGATACTGTGTTCTGCTGTCATTAGTGGGTAACACTTGTGACACACCATTACACATGTTCCTTCCCTTCCAAAAAGGCCTTGCCTTAAAGTGCTGTAGTGATCTTGGACATGGTCTAAAATGCCTCAARGCACCACAGTCATGGGCTGTCTCAAGCTTCTTCATGTCCAGTGAAGGTCCAGGAAGAGAAAGGTTGTGTTTTGAATTTTTGCCCAGCCTACTGAGAGCTGCAGGCCAGTCGAAAGAGTTTCAGTCCCTTAACTTCAGTTCAAAGTTCCCTATGGCAAAGTGACCTGTGGCAAGGTCTCACTGGGGTACTCAGTGAGAGCTGCCTTTGCTGGCCCTAACACTATTAATAATGAAATGATTACAAAGTTCTTCAAAATTTTTCAAAGCATTTTTAATATCTGAAAGCTGCAGTGATGAAAAATAGACTCTTACCTCTGTGGGGTCCTGCTTGCTCCAATATTTTACTTCATAGATCACTGGCTGTCCAGAGAGCAGGGATGAAGAATAGCTCTCTTCCCAGCTTAGATTGTAATTACCATTTTCAGCTTTCTCAATGGCAAGGTTTTTGGGGGCCCTTGGTTTAACTGTATATTAAAAAATATATATAATTAAGAGCATTGCAGTGGGAAAGTACTGATGAAGAGAAGCAGGGGGATAAATATTCGCCAGAGACCAGTCTCATCACAATCAATGCACTTGGCCCTTTTTACTACACTCTTGCATATGGATACAAAGGACAAAATAGGGCAACCGCAAAGTGTTTATTAACAAACATTGGGTCTTCAAGTTAGCTGAAAAAATTTCACGTTCTAGTTTATAGTATACTGAATGCAGTTTCCAAAATGGAAAAATGGGGTAAGTCTGTGCCCTCAGAGTAGCATGCTGTGCCTTGAGGTAGACACAGAGATTTTGACAACTTCTCAGAGAGATTATTCTGGATAACTATCTCTTCAACATTGAGGCAGATTCTTGCTTATTCTGATGATGAGCAGAAGCAACCTCAAGTATTCTGAAATGAACCAGATCACCAGTGCAGATGAATGCCTGCCTAAGACACTCAAATGATTTCACTTGAGTGTTTAGAACAATGTGTCACCTCAAACAAGCTAAGTGCTTGTAAAGACAAGTATAAACTAAATCTGTGCTCTGTTCTGAGAAAGTGAAGATTCGTAAACTTTTTATCATTATTATATCCAATAGTATTTACCATGAAAATCRGAGGGATGCTTCAACTAGAACAAAAAACATGTGGTGATGACAAAGACAGGAGTAGTAAACTGCAGCAGGTGTAGTCTAATTTCTTCCTACAGACTAGCAGTAACATCTTCCATGGCCACCTCAGCATCTTTTTCAGCCACAAGCAAAATGCACTAAAGATATGTCTAAGCCCTCAAACTAGTGATTACTGGAAGATGAAAGAGTATAGCTAGAGGAAGAATCACTCTTCTTGTCCCTTCTTTTATTCTTTCCTTAAGGATCTGCTCCAGAATCAGGTTACTAAGCCAAATGAACCTTTGAATTGAGCTAGCAGAGCTTTTTTACCTCCAATAMGGAAAAATTCTTCAGAGATCATTAATAAGTTAGCTAGGATTGCAAGACTGTAAGCAGAAGATATCTTGGTGACAAAATAAATAGTTTCTTACCAACCAAGGCTGGTGTAACACTGTAATTCCCTGTATTAGTCCCATTGAACTGCAGAGCTATAAAGTAGGTAAGGCCCGATACAAAAAAATCAGGATATATTGTGCAAGTGCATGTGGAAGTCTCTTCCCCATTCTCAGGGACACACACATAACTTCTGAAAAACAGACAAAAATGTGTGATATTTACATACAGTTACATACTCTGGTCTTCAAAACATACAATCAAGGTTCCCAGTGTATAGAGTTAATATAACTTGAGATAAAAATGCTTAGTTCCTAGAAATACTTAGCCAAATCTGCACAGAACAGAATGACCATCTAAACCTTTAAGTAATCCATCCATCCCCAAAGACTCCTCAGAAATCTATTACATTAGGGAAAAGACTGAKGGAAAACTAAGGATTTATCCCAAGAAGAAAAGTTAATACCAAAAGCATCCTTTCTCACACTTCAGTCTTTGAAAGAGCAGATTAATGTCTTGTTATTATGGAAAGTTTTACTACCTTGTACAAAAACCGAGGTTACTTGGACATCTCTGTGAAGAAATCATATAGAAAGTAGGAGGAGGACACCAGATGCATCTTTTACACACACAAGCTATGGACAGGTAAATCAGGTAAGTTTTTCCCGAAGAAAGTAAAAGTTCTCCTGAAATTAGGTAAACTTGTATGTGACCTAACACTCCTACAAGTAATTTTTGATCATTCCATTATACTAAGAGCACAAAAAGAGGCCTGCAGAAGAGTTCTTCACTGAAGACAGCATGTTGTTTATATGAGCATCCCATTTTTCCTCCTGGCAAAAAGAATATCCCAATTTTTCTTTGTCCCAGGCTCTTGTGGCAGGAGGAGAAAATTAAAGCTGCTAATAACTACGGCATATTTTAAGGTCCAACAATGATAACTGAATGTTTTATTAAACACTTACTGTGGAGATGAAAATTCACTCCTGTAACAGAGCAGGAATTCTTTGGAGCAGTTTGTCTGTGCAGGCACCTTCCAATGACAAACCAGTTCTTCAGCATAGTCAGTGAAGCACGCAAAGTCCTGCACGTGTCCTGTAGCCATAACTACAGGGAGACAGCACACAGTAAAAAACAGGAGAATCAAAAAATAATTCAAATWAATCAGGACCATAGAACCCTTTCCTCTAAACAGAGTGATCAAATCCTCACAAGGGAATTGAAAACACAGCTGTTTCTCATGTTCTGTGTGAAAGAAAAGAGGTACATGACACCAAGTATCTCCAGAAAGGTAAAGACAATCGCTATGCTTTTAAGTAAGATCAGCAGTAGAAATATTGAAATAAAAAGCACAACTCATCTAATACAGAYTTCTAGACTACTACTTGATGAGCTCTACCTAAAACCCACCAACTTTAACACAGCATTATCACATCTGTTAATCACACAGCTTGTTCAAGTTAATCACAGTAACAATGTTGTGTACTAAGTATTCCTACTCATAGTAAAATATCATAGATAATTTCAGCATAACAACATAACACATTAACAAACGTACTTTCATTTGTCGCATATGAAAAGAAAAGGATCCAAAGAGCATGCAGTGCAGAACTTGGTTTTCTTGCCATCATTGACTCCTGTCAGGTTCAGCAAGACAAGCTGTGCTGCAATTCTGCCAAGAGAAAACACTGCAAGCTTACATCAGTGTCCCTGCTGAGGGAGGGTTGTAGCTCTTCATAGCACAGTGCTAGATGTCAGGATTAAGATGCTCTGTAGTGCCTGATCCTCCTAAACTTTGCTTATGGAGCTATGTGAACTGTAGGAGAATAAGGGTAATATACTAGTTAAAAGACAAGAAATTGACAACATGTCACCAAGGCCATATGATTCCACCCTGATAACCAAAACAACTTAAGAATGAGGTACCTGAGCTGAGGTCTAATGTTTTTCCACAGCCCTATCACCATTACCSTAGATACTGAGAATTACCAATCTCCTAGAAGAGTTTTGAGCAGATGTATATGCAAAGAATACAGACAAAATGCAAATTAAAACAATAATTAAAATAGAAGTTGTAAAACATCTACAGAGTTATGAGACTGTGTAGAAAATCTGTCAAGAACTGAATGTCCAAAAATGAGACAGAGGAGACCTAAAACTTTATTCAAATAAAGGGAGAGTCCATCGGGCATATCCCTGTGGGGTCAAGTTGCTGGAAGACGCAGCCCCCTTTTATCCTAATTTCCTGACCGAGGTGGCCCTCTCCTTTTCCCCATYGGCCGGTCTGCCTGCCTGCCGCCTACACCCAGCTCGTGCCTCCCTCCATGTGTTCCCACCTCAGGTCACCTGACTCCTTTGTGCCCCTCACTCCACACTCCTCTCAGTCTCTCACCTGCAGATATTCCTTTGTCCTGCTCATCAGCCAAAGAAGGGGAGCAATTTCCTCCCTCCTTTGTAAACACACAAACTTACAAACTTGTGTGTGTTCTGCTCAATCCCCTGTGTGTGTTTTCTGCTCAAGACCATCCAGGACAACTTTAAAAAGTTATGCAGCTCTTATGTATTACAATTCTTGAGGCACAGTGAAGTTCAGTAAGAAAACTGAAGCCAGAYGAAATAATCCATTTAAGACTTTCAAACAGCTTTTCTTTTTCTCCAGGTTTTTACTGAAGACACTAAGCTGCCAAGTGGTAGATGTTATTAGGATTAGACGTAGCTACCAGASATGAACGTGGCATAGTGACAGATAGGTAAATTTGTATATAAAGTCATGATTGCTAATATGGGGTGGCTGTGACTTGCATTCAGCATAAGRAAGAACATACCTTGTTCAGAAACGCATCATCTTTTGACAGAATGCTTTTATCTCTTCCTCTTATGCTGGTATTTTCTAGTCCCTGGGTCTGGATTCTGTGCTCACACTTGCTACCTGTATCCTGCAGCTGCTCTGCTCATACCCGCAGAGCCTTGCATGGTATCTTTGCTGCCGAAACTCACAATTCTCTTTGTGTGACTGAGTAAAGAGGAAAGAAACCCTAAGAAGAAATCTCCTAGTAGGAGAGAGGTTTTTGGCTTTTTGAAGCAGAAAACAAAACAAAACATTTGTGGCTGGTGACCGAGTACCATCTACCACCAACCTAACTGCAAACATAGAACATCCCTTAACACTGCTATCAGATTCAGAATTCACCAGTGCATGAGGCAAGAGGAAWTGACTGAGGAAATCAGGAATTTTGCTGTAGTATAAACTTCTGAAGAGATTAGTTTTGGAAGAATTTAATGTTGTTTTGGGAATATGCCTGTGGGCACTGTACACATGTAAGAGTGGGCAGTCACAACAGCACACTGCTGACACCATGTTCCTTCAAATTCCACTTCAAACATGGGTAAGACTCAGGAACAGCTGTTAAGTTTTGGTGTCAGTTAGAATAAACTCACTGCAGACAAAAGACACAACCCTCCCAGGTGAGTAAGGCACAGGCAGAAAAGTAACCCCTTTTTTATGAAAAGWCCATGCCTTCTATTGATGAATTTATCTATATAAATCATAGCAAAGCATAGGGACAGAATCTTAATTTCTACAGTATGTTTAGAATAACTCACACTTCTTTTACAGTGCATCTTTACTTCAGTGGTAGCCTCAGCCTGAAGGCTCACTATCTAAGCTGCTGCCTTTTCTGATGCTGCATTTCCTCCATTCTCACATACCTTGATTGGTCATTCTTTAAAAWAAGCTTCTACAGATTAAACATGGAAAATTTCAATCTTAGAAGTTAAGCAATAACAATAATGTGAGCACAAACAAACTAGAACAGAAAACTGTTTTGTGACCTTATCAGAAGCAGTTACTGATCATACAGTAACGAAGGCCCTATTTTAACTACAAATTTCTCACAAACATTCAGGAAAACTACTCAACTGATGAGTTTTTCCTGTTTGGAAACAGATGAAATGTGATTAAGCACACTAATATATTTTTTAAAAAAAAATACACGTGCCTTTTTGTAATTCAGAAAACAAAAAAACAAAAAACAAACAAACAAAAAAAAAAAGAGGGCAAAGTGCTCCAGGAAACAAAACTTTTTTTTTTTTTTTTTTTAACTGGCATTCTCGGGAGGAAATGTTTGCTTTTCCAGTTCGTTGCTGAGTAATGGAGTCCCATGACTGCAGTTCCAAGAAACTACAAAAACTTTTGCCAAATATTCCTGTATCACACAAGCACCTATGAATCAGCAGACTTCAGAGTAAGTATCTCTCTTCTTTCCAGGAGGAAAGAAGATGTGGGCACTTCGATGGAAGTGGATTTAATCTACACCTCTAATGAAAAGTGAGGTTTTGTTTTTGGTGTTGTGTTTTTGAATAAAAGTAGTGCATTATAAAACTAATGGCAAGTTAGAAAATTTAGAAAGGACAATAGCTTCCCTATCGGTAGGCTTTTAAGTTTTTCTCAATATTGCATAATGAAATATTACATTTTTAAACTTAAAGTATGTAACTATATACATATACAGTATAGTTAATAATATGTATGTTTAATAAGGCACACAGGTATGCATCTGTATATGAAACTTAATAAAGTATAAAAGATATATAAAATCTATACAGAATATTAAGTCCTCTGTAAACTATAATCCCAAATACGATTAATATAACACTGTGTATTTGAAGAAAATAAGACCTAAAACACCTAAGTGACTTATCTCCATAGTTTTGGGAAATTCATATAAAACTGGAAGGAGTCTTCGTAATTACTGGCCCAAGTTACATGCTTAAATCATCACAATAATCCTATCTTTTGAAATAATAATTAAAAAAAATCAAGATGCAACTATTTCATTTAATCTTGGGAAAAAAATAATATATATTTTCTAGTCGGGGCTTTTAATTAAATTTGGGTCACAGTTAATCTACAGGAATAACCTGCAAGATTATGCTCAAAGGGTAGGTCACGGACAAGATACAAATTATAGTTAGTTCTACCTAAAACTCCTTAAATTTATCTTTCTTTCCAATATGCAATTAACAGGCCACTTCCCATTTAAAACTGCAACTTTAATTTTAAAAGACAACTTATTCTTTTTGACTAAAATCAACCTGCCATAACTGCAGAACAAAATCAGATAAGCAGCAAAAAGCAACGCGTGATTACGTTATTAGTCAGCCGATTTTACACTGGCGTTTGAAAAGCGAGTTTCTCGCGAAAGCCCGGCCGCGGGGCACCGCTCGGGCCGCGCCGGGCCCCGGCCGGGGTCCCGCTTCTGCTGGCGAGGAGGGAAGGCCGCGCCCGTCAGCGACGGGCCCGAGACTAAACCCGGCGGCTCCCACGGGGCGCTGCCCAAAGCGGCCAACCTGAACGGCCCCGTCCCGCCCCGCCGCGCCCTCCCGCTGCCCGGGCAGGCCCTTCACGGGCCGCTCTGGCCGGGGCTCGTTCTGCCTTCGCCGCGGCTCGGGGCACCGCGCGCACGTCACCGCACACAGCGCAGAATTTCCTGCTGCCCACGGAAGGAATTTCACTTCAGAAGGGGGAATTTTGAAGGGAGGGGACATTTTATCTTCTAAGTGAGTCACTGCAGCCATGTTTCCACGTCCTCCTCGCCGCCCGACGTCCTCCACCAGTCCTGCGTCACTCGCCGCCCGGACACCCCGGGAGCCGCGCGCAGACACGTCCCGCGCGCCCGGCCCGCGGCACCGCGAGCGCTCCCGCGACGCGCGGCACGTGTAGCCCGCGGGCCCCGCGGCCCTTGAGCGTCCCTGAAAAGGCCGGCTTTGCAGAGGGCCCGGGCGGCGGATCGGGAAGGCCGCCCCCGGCCGCGGCCCGGCGCACCGGGAAGCGCTTTCAAAGGCAGCAGCCCGAGCTCCGCGTCGAAAAGTGCCCGAGGGCGCGGCGAGCCCGGCGGCCCCGCAGCCCGGAGGGAAGCAGCGGCCGAGCCAGCAGCCAGCGGAGACGGCAGCGGCTGTCGCCCCCCGCGAGGCCCGAGCCCCCCCCAACCCCACACGGCCGTGGCAGCGATCGGCCCGAGACCCGCGCGCGGGGACACGCGCATCGCAGCGGTGGGAAACTCACGCGTGTCCGGCGGCTGCCGGCGAGGACAGCGGGCCCGGACTAGCCGGAGCGCCGCGATGCGGGCCCGTCGCCCGGCTGCGGGGAAGCGGCGGGCGCGGCTCGGCCGGGCCCGCCCCGCCGGCACGGACAGGACGGGCTCCCCCAGCGCGCGTGCGTGGCCGTGGGCGGGGCTACTGCGCCAGGGGACGGGCAGTGCAGGACGCTGGCCGAGCAGCTAGCTCGCAGGCGGTTGTGACGATCCCCGAGTTGTCGAGCGCGGGCGGGGTGGTGGTGGGGGTGGTGTCGCGGCAGCCCCGGGGGGTGAGGTGAGGTGAGGTGAGGTGAGATCAGATCAGATCAGATCAGATCAGATCGCGGCGCCGGGGTGACCAGGCTGGGGCCTTTGGGGCGGCGGGCCGGGCCGGGCCGGGCCGGGGGGACGCGCGGGAGGGGCTGCGTGCGGGGAGCCTTTGGGCAGGGGTAGCGGGGCGGCTCTGGGGCGGGGACGAGGGGGGTACTGGGGTGACGGGGACCCCCGGGGTGGCGGGGACCAGGCCCGGCCAGCAGTGGCTCCGCGCGGGCCGGGGCGGCTCCTGGTAACGTCCGTTGCGGGAGGAAGCGCCGCAGCCGGGACCCCTCGGTCTGGTGCCGCCCTGAGTGGGGCCCGAGCCGGGGCTCCCTAGAATCAAGTCGAGCTTAGGGGGGCCTTGCTTATGTTCCTTTCCCAGCTGCTTCCCCGAACCCTTCCTCCGGAGTGGGAGTGTCTTGAAAAGCTTGTACTTAGTTTTGGCATTCTTCACAACACGTAGAGGAAGATTTTTCTGTCCAGATTAACTTACAGTCTAATTAGATAAGTTATTTGGATATGTACTATCCAAATTTAACACAAAACTGTGCAAGATGTCCTGTTGAATGAAATAGATGTTAAGAGCATTATTTTGTTTGTTGGAGTGGGGGGGAGTATGATGCCACAACATCTACATTATTCTGTAGCTGAAAGTGTTAGGTAAAATCTTTTTGTCTTTTGCCTTCTTCTCATAGAGCCCTAGAGTTTGTCCACATCCGTTTTGGATATCAAGCAGGGGTACTTTTTTTTTTGCCCTGATTCATTTTTTAGCTCACCAATTTGTTCTTTTTTATTAGAAATTTAATTGAAATATTACATACGTTTGGAATTTGTATTTTTAACTTTTGTGAATGTCTATATTAATTCCATTTTACTCTCTTTTCAGCATTTTAAGCCTGGTGGACTATTGCAATGGCAGCTCAGATGACCGATAGTCATCGACGGTTCCTGCAGATCCTGATGTCTCATGGGATAATGGAAGGATCAGAAGCTAGGAAATTACACAGGCATTGCTGTGAAATCCATAAAGGTTTGTCTCGCTTTCTGAGGAAAAGTATTGAGAATAAAATGGGAGAACATTTTTTTTCTGAAATGGTTTACAAATACTTAGATTTTTAAAGTTATATATTTAAAATTATATTAATACTTGTCAAGAATAATGTTTAAGTCTGCAGAATGTTTTCCTTTGTACTTCTTTGGAAGGATTTCCCTTTGAATATAGCATGAAGTATGTGCTGTAATATAATGCATCCATCCAGAGTAAACCTGTCACCTGACTGATTACATGTGCAGTTAGGTTAGTCTTGATATATGCTATAACAAGATGAATTTTATGTAGATTCTCTTACAAATAATGGTTCCATCTCATTTTTTTCCTAGCTATAAAAAATTTACCAGGCAGAATATTCAAATCTCAATAGGTAGCTTTTATATAAATCTTCCTATTTACTACTAAAGGGAACAACTAAAAGAAATTAAGGAATTTTTCTTCCAAAAAAAACCCACTTTTCTGAATGTCT